CATCTCTGTGAGCATATTGTAACATTGCCTCCCTTACATTTACGTTATTGTTTTAGAATAGGTGTATTTTTATGAAAAATTCGCTTGCATTATTAATTTTATAAATTAAACGGTTAAACTAAAAGTAGCCGTTGCACCTAAACTTTTCAAGCCGCATTTAATGGTGAAATAATATTTTTCATAGCTCTTCTAGTTTTCGAGATCTGAGTGTGACAGACGGACATTTTGCACAAACCTAATAGCGGCTTTTTCCCCTTACGGGGGCCGCTAGAAAACAACAACAAAATGTTAGTAATGTTTTTACTGCTTTGTCTTTGAACTATATCGTAAGTCCATTAAATGCAGAGTTACTTTTGAGAATCTTCGTACCAAAGGTCACTCCGAATTGATTGGGCTTTTCAGAGAGGAAATTGTCCTTGATTAAAAAACTGCCAGCGAAGCCAGGCCCAGCAACGGTGATCTCCATTTCGGAGCAACCCTCAACACGTAAAGGGCGGGAACTGGCCAGCAATCCTTTTCATCGACCTATTAGCGGATTAAGTTCCAAGTCGTCGAGTTCTTTCCCCCTTTTTTTTTTTTTTTTTTGACTTCAAACAGGGGAGACAATTTTTAAAGGCAATGAAATGGATGCATTTAGCTTAAAGAGTGTTTCCATGATACCAGGTTTATCTGCAAAGAAATGATCTGTGAAATGTAGAAATAGAAAACCGAAATACATTTTGGCAAGGAATTAATTTGAACGTATAAATACCTCTTTCTAAACTAAAAATGATTATACTAAAGAAAAAAGCCGATGATAGATCAGCACGACTAGATGTGCTCATGTTTCGGACGTTCCTTCAGAGTTCAAGATAGTCTACTTCCTAGTCCAAACCTCCCGCAGGACGACGTGGGATGAAAGCGGGCAGGGTTTGAACCCGGGACCATCGATAAATCCAAACGACAGTCCAGCGCGTAAACCGCACGACCAGGCAAGATCAATGGTAAAAGAGAGAGAGAGAGAGAGAGAGAGAATAAGAAAATACGCGAATATGTAAAAGGTAGAGATGCTGTGTGGAGGTGCGGTGGCTGAGTGGTAAAGTGCCTGGCTTCAGAACTGGAGAGTCTCGTGTTCGAATCTTGATAACGACTGGGATTGTTAAATTCGGGATCCTAGGGGTGCATCTTATTCCACCCAGCTCTAATGGGTGCCTGAAATAAGTTGGGGAAAAGTAAAGGCAGTTGGTTTTTGTGCTGGCCACATGGACACCCTCGTTAACCATGGGCCACAGAAACGGATGCCCTTTGAATGCCCTATAGATATGAAAGTGAAGGACAAAATGAGAGAAGTTCAGTAAAGGAAAAAAAAACGACAACTCGCTTCTGGCTCAAGAAAAACTGGTCAGCGGTGGGAAGCGTGGTTGAGAGGCCAAGTGCGCTTGAACCTACCTAGAAGGGGGCTTGAGGTTCGACACCCGACTCGGGCAGAGTTGTGTTTACTGAGCGCCTAAAGGCAGCACGGAAAACCAACTCTTAGATACCCCTTCCCCCCACCGGTCCACAAATGAGATTGGACCAAAAGCGCTCTGAGCATGCTATAAGCATGAAAGTAGCGCTATATAAATGCTATAATAATATAATAATAATAATGGTAGGCTACTATCATTATGCTTTATTGATCTGTATTTTTTACTATAATTTTTTTTTTACGGACGCTCGATAGCCCCATGCGAATTTTCTTTTTATTGTTGGTGAAATACACCGTATATAGTATTATCTAGACGACGGATTATCCGGACAGACCCCGCGCTCAATTAACCCGGAGAATCGACTCTGTACTGTTTAGTGTAAAATATTACCCGGTACTGGAGATTGTGTGAAAAATTTATAAGCAATTTCGGCTCTATATATGTGCCATGTTAGCAAGATTTTAGAATCAATTTTTTTTTAAGTTTGTAAAAAAAAAAATGATAACAGAAAAATACAATGAAATTATGAGATAGTGATCATTACATTATAAGAATAAAAAAATGTACCGAATATATTGAAACCATTTTTTTTTGGGGGGGGAGGGGGCACTGATGGAATCTGACTTGTTTTTGCTGAAGCTGATCTTGACAGGGCCGGCCTTCGATATTTGGAGGCCCTAGGCAAAGTGAATCTGGAAGCCGAAAATGAAACATAGAAAAAAAAAAAAGGAAAAACTAAAATGTATTAAAAACCTAGTGTACTCCAGCAATAAATATTGAGGAATAGTTTCGCGATTTCTTCTCTTAATTTTAAATTCTAGTTTGCATTATGTCTAAGACAGGTCTTGTCATGGACAAGTGTTGTAGGCGTCGTTGTGTGGTACACAACTGAAAGCTGTAAGTGTATTATCAAAAAAAAAATTGAAGTAACTTGAATAACTTCTTTGTGAATAAACTAAAAACAGCTTACAACAGCGGGGCGTATCTTGTATCATTTTACAAGACTAACATTAAATGAATGCTCTCTCTCACAAAAACTAACTATAAATACTCCCTTTCCATACCTGCTAAGAAACACACAAACTCTATAACAACAAATCGGTAGTGTGTCAGAATTGTTCTAATAGTATAACCAAAATATAAAATTAGATGTTCGCTAACATCAAAAACACTGGAAGACCATAAAATATACGAACGAAATCAAATAGAAAAGAAAAAGGACACAAAATACAAAATTACATACAATCAATGGGACAATGTAAAAATACATTGCGAATTTCATGAACAAGGGAAAAAACTTAAAATTGAATTTAATCCTTTAGAAAAACGGATTATCTCCCTTCTGTGATCCCTTAGTAAAAAATTAAGGCCATCTCGTGTATAGATAGTGCTACAGCACTACAACTTTGAATACGTTCTCGACTTAGGTTATGCATAGTGGTATAAAAGACACATATCGAACTTCGCTAATAAAATTATATAATGTAAACTTGTTAACAATTAATAAATAAACTGAATGAATACACTGTAACTATAGATCAAGTATCAATTTCGTATTAATAAGGAAGTAATTTGAAAATATGATATTATTGTCAGATTCACCCAACATGTCCATTGCTCGAACAGTACTTGTGGTCCATTAGAGCCAATGAAAGTGTTAGATAACAAGCTATTATACTGTATTATACGTAGTTGTATTTAGGTTATGATTCATTGTTCTAATTAGCCTATTGTTGTCTATTCAATTGTTAATTATATTTACTGAAGCGTATCATAAAGTTAATGATCATTATAAAGCCAATGTCTTCGATTGTTAAGGTTAAGGATGGATGTAGTGTTTCACAAGACTATGCAAACCTGAACATTTTGCCACATCTGATGCAGACTAATCCTTTATCCGCCCGGGGTCTACATAATCTTTTTTGTTTTGTCCTCAACATGGGACATTTCTTTGGACCTAAATGTGTGTTATGCGAGCCTTTTGATGGCTCTCTTTATAAAGTTCGATTCGTTTTAGACATCACTGCCTCTATTTGTGTGTGGACGGGATTGAATTCTTATTTCTCTATTGTCATTGCTGGATTCAAAACAAAGCATACATATTTGTTACAGTATGATATACACCAATCTAACATGACGTCCAATGTTAGCAAGAAGATTTATGTTTTTAATGAGATAAAAATCTGTTTGAATAAGTTTAAATACATTTTATGTTCTAGATTCCTACAAGTTTTGTGAAACCTTTGTTTGAAAACTTTATGCCTTAAAACCCAGCCAGTATATCCGATTAAGGAAGAATGTTACCGTTGATGATGACTGTAGTACTAAACTATTGATTAAATCAATTGTATGCTAGACGCATTAAATAGCGGACCACCATTTGTAAGCCTCCATGCACTGACGTTCCTTGCTGAGATCACTCATCAGATCGGGTATCTGTCATAGTCCCTCGGGCAAGACTCCCGCATGCACCATCTTCATCGTTCTCAAGCCCTATGGTACCTCTACAATCATTTCTGAGCGTTTCATTGTTTCAATGTGCATATGGCAGTTTCGAAATTTGGGATCGAAGTTTTCTTGACTTCTATCGAAGCAAGCTGTGCCAGTGGCGTAGCTGGGGGGGGGAGAATTTGAAAATCCCTTCGGGCCCCCAAATTAGTGTTTTTACATTAATATTACGCAAATTAAAGGGCCCCCATAGAGGTCAAGCCCATGGGCCCCCAAATGATGGCAGATTACTAGCTGCGCCCCTGGGCTGTGCGCTGTGCGAAAATGAGCCTCTATGGCTTAAAGTACAATTACAATACAGTCGTTAAAATAATCATTCTCCTTTTAATCTTGCGACTGGTCAAAAAATTATTGGCATAAAAAGAATCAAGCTCGAATAAAATTCCTTGGTTTCATTTCAATTTTTAGTTATTTCCCTGTACATTCAAGACTTTTTTTTTTTACTTCATTGCAATTTGTAATTATGTGTGATTTAACTAACTAGAAAATAATAACTCAGTGTTCACTTATATGGACAATGGGGTTTGGTGGCGAAGTATTATGTAGTGAAGCTGGGGCTCCAAACCGAGGCTCGTGAATCTGAATAGAATTTGAATCGTCTGCAACGATTCGCAATTTTCAGCACTTCCTCGAAACTACCCAAATTCTAAAGGGTAGATGACATTTATGTCATTTTTGACATTTACAAAGGTAAGTTGTGCTAACCATGTTTGATACGATTGACACTATACGCCTATGTCATAGGAACTGATACATTTGACACTATATGCCTATGTCATAGGAACTGATACGTTTGACACTATTTGCATATGTCATAAGAACTAATACGTTTGACACTATATGCATATGTCATAAGAACTAATACGTTTGACACCATATGCCTATGTCATATGATCTGATACGTTGGACACCATATGCCTATGTCATAAGAACTGATACGTTTGACACCATATGCCTATGTTATAGAAACTGATACGTTTGACATCATATGCCCAGGAAGGACTATTTACATTACAGAAAAAATAAAAAACAAAGACATTACAAATGAACCGAAACAATCTTTTAATCTCTTTACAAAATATGCTGGTAGCCCATTTACATCCCTGTGTATAGGTCAACGTCTATAGACAAATATATTTACATGTAAGTATACAAGTTTGTACACATTCTTTGGTAATAAAAAATGATCAAAGTTTCATGAACTCGGTAGATACAAAATCAAAATATACAACAATATGTCTGTCAAATATTAAAGCACAAAGATTGATTTATTATACCGGCTACATTATAGGAAACCGTTAGTCTTTTGTAAAGCAAGAGTATTAAAAGCAAGTGTTTGTGTTTCTTAGCAGACTAAAAAAGTTGATCTTATAAACATCTTTCAACTATTGCACACGGTTTGTACTTTTCGAAAACTGCTAAAAACACAACACACTGTGGCGCAACATAAAGATGTTAACATTGTGAAGGAGAATGTAAGGCGATGGGGTTCCCACAGAAGCGATATATTGCAGCTCCTAAATTTACCTGCAATTATTCATCTTATAAAAACGTTTCACATGTAATTCACTTGAAAAGTAATTTTCGAAACAAGAAAAAAATGGAGAGAAAGCGTAACTTTGGACCAGAAAAGCCCATGACAATACAAGGTGAAAATAAAAAGTTTGAAACATAATATCAGTAGATTTTTTATTCCAATGTTTCAAACGTGCTTCAGTAAAGACAATTACTGCCTAGCCCAAGACGTGCTTCAGAAAAGACAATTACTACCTTGCCCAAACTTCCAACAGGAATGCAGGGGATGGTGGCAGAAGAAAGTTTTGAACTTAGGACCTTCGTGATACGGCGGTCCAAAGTGCATTCCACTCGCTAAGACAGCCTACTTTATTCAGTTTGTACTTGAAACTTTGGCCTTTTACAAAAATATTTATTCGGAAAGAAAAAAATATATTCTAGCCACAGTTTTTAAATAATCGACTATGGATAATTATGCAAAATTTTAACCAGATCCGAGAAAGGGGAAGTGCGACAGATAACGTGTACAAAACGTAATAAGGGTAATAACTCCATATATACAGTTGCATTTCTTAATAAGTAATTTTTTTTCTTAGTTTGATTCCAAACGAAATAATTAATTAACAATAATTAATTAACTAGTTTTTTTTTTTAATTGGTGTAAAGTTTCAACTTGTTCCAAGAATGAATATCGGACAGAGTGAGTTGCTATAAGCTTTGAACTCTTTACATTTGAGCGCTATATACTATCTTTAATCGTTCAATAGGGCTACAAGTACAAACATTTGCACATCGATCACAAATTACTCTATTGGTTTACACACTACACCAAAATTTAATTCTAACATACAGAACTCCATTGTACTATAAAAAGTATTAAAAAATATTACATACCATCATAGGCAACATTTTAAAACAAAGCATCCAGTCTATATCAATCATAAAGAACTGCCTAGGTCTACACAAAACATTTATTCCACACGCATTGTACACAGCTCCAAAGAACTGAACAGACCTTATAAATCATACATCAGTCTCCTTGAGTTCACGAAGATATCTAACATTAGGAGTTGATCTTGGTCTAGAATTGTACAAATCCGCATCAACTTTCGCGGAATCTGTAGCTTCGTATTGTTTCTCCAACTCAAAGTAAAAGTGTTCAGGCGGAATGGAAGAATCATTCGTGGAGATATTTTGGCGGTTTAAATTCAAAAGAAAGTTCGCAACTGTCAGCTGACTGGGACCAACAGATGGCACCGGTGTTTTTTGGTTTTGTACTTTTTGGTCGAATATTTCTATCACAGCATAAGGCTCAGTTCTGTTGGAGTCGGCCACATGAATGCGTCGCATGTCCGAAGATTTCTCCCAGTTTTGTTTTAACTTACGGCTTAAGTAGAGTGAGCTGTCCACCGAGTGGACAGTCGAGTCTACAGTGGTGTATCCGGAGTCGTCACTGACAAATCCTTGGTTGTCTTTACCTCTCATGAGTCGGATGGGGGCCAATTTTGAGCTTGGCTCGGCTAAAACTGGCGGTGAAATCTTTGGGTAGCTCTTCCGTTCTACCTGGGTATATTTAGCTTGCCTTTCAGAATGATCGAATGTGGCTGGTATGCTGGGAGGCGGTATGAAAGAAGGTTTCGGAGGAATGGCGGGTACCAATTGGTGAATATTTTCTTGAGGTTTTAGAAAGTCACTCGTTTTAGTATTCATTGTAGTTGATGTGTTTGTTGCTTGCAAGTAAAATGGTTTGGCAATAATTACTGGTTTGGGCGGGATTTGGTTCCTTGCTTCTGTAGTGTGGTTTAACACCGGCGCGCTGATTGGTTTCTTGGCAATGGCAGGTAGAGATTTGACAGTTTTAGCTACCGTTGTCTGGTTGATGCTTGAATCGCTACAAGATTTGGCTATTTGTGCAGAAATAATTGGCAATTTTCGGTAAACGTTTTCAAGAGCTGTTTTAGTCTGAGAGAATCTGTTTGTTTGAAGCCCATCATGAATATTAGCTCCAGGTGTATCGTAGTGATGAAAGCTTGGTTGAAAACTTTCTGTCCTGCTGTCATGGTTTATAACGGACACTCTGGCTGGTTTGGCTGCAATTTTCGGTAAAACTTTAATCCCATTAGTTAAGTTTTGGTTATAAGGGGTTGTTGCTGCGTGTGTGTCAACGTTATAGATCTCAAACCCAGAGGCTTCATCAGAGTCGTGTGTTGTACTGTGTCTTCCGAAAGAAGCCTCAGAATCGTCGTCGTTAATTCCAGACGTGCCATAGAGGCTTGAGCTCAGACCTGACCTTCCTTTGGTAGCTGTCTTGGGAGCATTGGTCAGCTGTGACCTCTTGCGTCGACGTTGAAGAAGGAGAAAGACGGCCAGGCCAACAATGACAATGACGAACAGACCCCCTGCGATGACCGCAACTATAATAATCACATTTGTTTCGTTCATTTTATAATACGTTGGTCATAGTTTTTGAATGGGTAAAGATTAGGTTATGTCAACTGTTAAGTTTCTCCCGAGATTTTGTTAGAGGAGAAAAACTTTAATTAATGAAAAAAATTCAGCTTACATCTTGACAATATATATCTGATTACATTTTGGTACTTAGTGAAACAATGATAGTTTCCGTGGAAGTATCCAGACATTGTTGACCAATTTTTAAGAGTTAGCACTCACAGCATCAGAGTTGTTTGGTATTTGAGGAGGAATTTGATAAACCATTCACAAGAAGTAAAAGATTGAAAGGATGAACTATTTGTTTCATCTTTAATTTCAAGTCATGGCAAAGATTATTCCGAATGTTTCTGAAAAGAAGAAAAAACAACATGAAAATATCTTTTAAATATATATATACACATCTAGTTTTTTCTTCAAATTAAAAGTAAAGATGTGGCTAAATTGAATGTAAAATAAAACCAAACAAAACAAAAACAAAACAATCTACTTGAATTCACTAATAAGGTAGATGAACTTAGTGAATCGCTTTGCTCTTCTCTTGGCCACAGCTTGCAGTGTAGGTCAACTGACCAAGACTGAAGAAGGCTTAAACAGGATAGCGTAACTGCTCTTGAAAGATACTTTCAGACCAGAGCTTCTCGACTGTGTTACTTCCTCAAACTGAGATATTTATCTTTTAATTCTTAGAAACATTTTCTTTTTAGTGCGTATATTGAATGTTAAAGTGCACTCAGCGACATTGATAACCATCGCATTCCCCGTTTACTTACTTTATTTTACGTAATGGACCAGGGGGTAGTCATGTTACAGACTTCGTGAATTAGTCAATTTCCCTTTTGATTTCTGAAAGTTGCGATTGTATCTTGATGCTGGTCTCTGATTGGGTCAACTAAAAAAGTTGCTATTTTCTAGGCCTCATTCTGAAATGAAACAACCATGAAAAAAGTAGATCACTAAGACCATTTCAGAGACAACTGAGTGCTAACATCAACAGTCTATATAAGAAGAATTATAAAAAAAAATAACAATAAAGCAACCTATACAATAACTCGTAAATAGAGCTCTAAAAATAACTTACAAAAAAATAACAATAGAAAAAAAAAACAAGGTTTAAAAAGCAATCCAAAATAAAACTCAAAAAAATTGACTAACATGTGGACCAAATAAGAATGCGTGTATTTTCATTAGAAATTTGACTAAATCAAAGGCAAGGCAATACTGCAGTGGAGAGATGCCGATCAATCTTGTGATATTTTTTAAAGCGTTGTTATTTTCATAAACACGGTTCTAGCGAACCAAAAATTAATTCACGACTCCAAAGCATCCGTTTCAATGTGAATTTAAATATAGCGTGTTTCTCTCCACGGATTCAGCCTTGCCCAGCACGAGTATACGTTAGGATCAAGTACTCACTTGAAATGAAGAGATGATTAATGCAAAGATAATTGGGTTATCAAATTGTGCTGAGTGCAGACGTACTTCAATGTGCTCTGCGCTTACAATGCTGGGAGTGGGTGGACGAGCTAAACATGGTGAGTGTATGTGTGTGACTGTATGTGCGTATGTGTGTGACTGTATGTGTGTGCTCAATCAGAACGTGTGGATTGCAAATGTTCTAAAGTCTCAAAAGGTTAACAATATGGAAGAAGAAATGTTTCAAAGGCATGAATAAGACTAAGACCCTGTAGGAGCTGGTGAAATGACTAATACCCTGTAGGCAGTACGGAGCTGGTGAAAAGAATGACTAAGAACCTGCAGGCAGTACGGAGATGGGGAAAAGAATGACTAAGACCCTGCAGGCAGTACGGAGCTGGGGAAAAGATCATCTCTGTATGTTCCAATTGCATAAAGAGTCTAAAGATGAGCGGCCAAGATTTTGCTGAAAGGAAAAAAAAAAGGAAATAGAAAAGAACAAAATCTCTAGCATCCTGGTTGTAAAGTCAAGCTGACCCAATCAAGAACAATTACACATAGTAAGCACTTTGTCAGGATTACCATTTCACAAAAACAAGGAAAATAAAGGGGGGGGGGAACAAAGGTCATTGAACTTTAACTTTAACCTTTAAAAAAATGTACTCACTTCGTATCTGGTTTTGTTTAATAATAGAATAACCGAATTTGTGAGCAGTGGCGTAGCTAGGAATTAGCCATCATTTGGGGGCCCGGGGGCTTGACTTCTTCAAGACCCCCTGCATTTTGCGAAATATTTAATATTCAATATTTATTATATTTATACTCCCTCAATTTGGGGGCTCGGGGGGATTTTCAAATTCTCTCCCTCTCCCCCCCCCCCCCCCATCCTAGCTATGCCTATGCATGTGAGTAGTGTGGGAGAGCATGGAAGTTCAACAGAAGAAGCTAAAAAACAACCCGAAAACTGTGCGAGCCTTCTACTTTTAGATCGACGGAACGAAGTAATTAAGTAAACATCCATTTCTTACATATAAGAAGACACTACACCCCAGTAGTTACGTTTACCGCGTCAAATGTTTTAATTAATATATAGAGACTACTATTTGTTCAGAAGATTAAGAATACAAAACTTGATTTATTAAGTCTTGGGTATTTA